GTGCTGAGCCTGGGGGTGCTGCGCTTGGGAGTGCTGAGCCTGGGGGTGCTGAGCCTGGGGGTGCTGAGCCTGGGGGTGCTGGGCCTGCTGTGCCTGGGGGTGCTACACCTGGGGGTGCTTTGCCTGGGAATCCTACACCTTGGGGTGCTGAGCTTGGGGGTGCTGAGCTTGGAGGTGCTACGCCTGGAGGTTCTCCGGGTGCTTCGTCTCTGCGGGAGCCACTCTCTCCACAGGAGTTGCGCGAGTGGTTTGCCCGAAGCTAGAGTCTTGCTGCTGGAGCTGGGGGTTCTTCGGCTACTGAAGGTGCTGCTGTCGCGGGTCCCGGAGGTGCTTGTACTGCAAGTACTGGAGCTGCTGAGCCTGCGGGTTCGACTAGAGCTGGTGCTGCTGAGGGTGTTGGCGCTGAGGCTACTGCTGGCGGTCCTACTGGGGGTACTACTGGTGCTGCTGGAGGTGCTGCTGGAGCGGGTGCTCCTGCTGGGAGTGCTGGTACTGTTCCTGAAATGTCTGGCGTTGCCGCGCGGCCTCGACTGTACTTCGTTCCCCTCCTGCAGCAGGTTCTTGGTCTTCCGCCTTCTACTGGTCCTCCTCCTTCTTTAGAGTGTCCACAGCCTGTCCTGTCACAGTTACAGTTGCAGCCTACCTCCCCTTTGCCTGCTCCTTCTCCCTACACTGGTCCTACTGGAGGTCTTGCTGAGCGTCGTGAGCCTGCGTCTCACCCTGCGTCACCTGTCCATGCTGCTCGCACTAGTGGTCGTAGTTCGCGTCAGCGTCCTCCTCCTGTCCCTGGCACGCACCGGATGTCTCTGCATCCGTCCACTGCTCCTCTGCGTGCCCCTTTGCCTTCTCCTCCTGAGTCCTCTCTTCCTGCTCTTGCCGACCCGGAGTCGGACTCTCTTCGTGCTGCCAGTCCTACTGTCACGCGTCTCCTTGCTACTGTTGTTTCTGACCCTTCTTTCGAGTCCACTGCTGCATTTGCCCTAGTTGCTGAGCTCGTCGACTTGTTGCTCGCTGTCGCCTAGACTATGCTGCTAGTCTTGTCGCTGAGTCTGAGTCTGTCTGTCCTCCGTCCGTCGGGGGTGAGTGTGACCTTGGCACGGACGTCTTTGAGGACAGGCAGGAGGAGTTCCAGTGTCTGGCTACTGCTTCACCTCATCTCGTGTCTGTACTGCTTACCCCTGAGGGAGACCCGGATGCACTTGACATCCCGACTCCGCGCTCTTACGCGGAGGCGATAGAGGGTCCCTACTCTTCTCAGTGGCAGGCAGCTATGGATGCAAACATGGCTTTCTGGAAGTCCACAGGCACCTACGTTGACGCGGTCCCCCCTCCTGGGGCGAACATCGTCAGTGGCATGTGGATTTTCAGGGTGAAGCGGCCGCCGGGTTCTCCGCCTGTTTTCAAGGTACGTTACGTGGCTCGTGGCTTCAGTCAGCGGCAGGGAGTTGACTACTTTCATACCTTCTCCCCTACCCCAAAGATGACCACTCTTCGGGTACTGCTGCACGTAGCTGCTCACCGTGACTACGAGCTACACTCTCTTGACTTCAGCACTGCTTTCCTGCAGGGCAGCCTGCACGAGGAGATCTGGCTGCGCCGCCCACTTGGCTTCACTGGGTCTTTTCCTCCTGGCACCCAGTGGAGCCTCCGGCGGCCAGTCTACGGTCTCCGCCAGGCACCGCGTGAGTGGCACGACTCACTGAGGACTACACTTGCGGCTCTTGGGTTTGCTCCCTCTACTGCCGACCCGTCGCTGTTTCTACGCACCAACACTTCTCTGCCGCCGTTCTACATCCTCGTGTACGTCGACGACTTGGTCTTTGCCACAGCGGACACTGCTGGACTCGCGTACGTGAAGTCCGAGCTGCAGAAGAGACACACGTGCACTGACCTGGGTGAACTGCGCAGCTACCTTGGTTTGCAGATCACCCGGGACAGAGCACGCCGCACCATTACCCTGACTCAGTCACACATGGTGCAGCAGGTCCTTCAGCGCTTCGGCTTCACGTACTCCTCGCCTCAGGCCACTCCTCTGCCTACTCGCCACTCGCTCTCAGCTCTGCCTTCGGATGAGTCCGTAGAGTCGAGTGGCTAGTACCCAGAGCTTGTTGGCTGCCTCGTGTACCTGATGACCTGCACACGACCTGACCTTGCATACCGTCTTAGCATTCTCGCACGCTATGTTGCTCCTGGAAGACACCGACCAGAACACATGGCTGCAGCGAAGAGGGTGTTGCGCTACTTGTGCAGTACGTTGGGCATGGGGCTAGTGCTTGGAGGGCGGAGTCCAGTAGTTCTCACTGGGCACGCGGACGCTTCTTGGGCTGACGACCAGGCTACGCAGCGGTCGTCACAGGGTTACACCTTCAGCCTTGGTTTCGGCTCTGTTTCGTGACGGACTACTCGCTCGTCTTCTGTTCTCGGCTCCAGTTGTGAGGCTGAGATCTACGCAGGGGCCATGGCTGCATAGGAGTTTCGCTGGTTCACCTACCTGTTGACCGACCTTGGAGAGCCGCCTCGTTCTCCTCCAGTCCTATACGTAGACAACAAGGCCATGCTGGCCTTGTGTCGAGAGCAGAGACTGGAGCACAGAACAAAGCACATTGCTCTTCGCTACTTCCTTGCTCGTGAGCCACAGAAGCGTGGTCAGTTGCGGCTTGCGTACGTGGCCTCTGAGGCCAACACTACTGATGTCTTCACCAAGGCACTTGCGCCTTGTGATCATCAGCGCTTCTGCACGCAGCTGGGTCTTGTACCTGTCTTGCCTCACTTGCTCACCTCTTGACCTTGCTTGTACTGTTGCATATATATACATATGCTCTTGCTTGTCTAGTCTTTTATATATATGTACTCCTGCATGTGAACTGGCCTTGTGGCCTTGAACTTGTGCTCGGAATGTGTGGTGACTTTGTGATCCACCCTGAGCTTGCTTTGCTTTGCTTTGCTTGACTGGTCTTGTGACCCTTTTGTTCTCCCTCACTTTTCCTATGGGGGTGTGTCAGAACATATAGCTTGTGCATATTGTATAGACTATAGTGGGGTAGCCCATAAGGGGTACAACCCAATTATGGTTAGTACTTGTACTCAGTTCATTCATAGTTCATTCATTCTCGTTTCTTCTCACTCAGCAGGCTCCGCATAGCTCCCGTCGAAGTAATGGAAGATTTGGACGTTCTGCAGCAAAAGCTCCAATTCGAAGCTCCAGGTATAGAAGTCTCTGCCGTTAAAACATGTACTTGTCTTTATTTTTGATATGCTGAGAAACCTTGATTGAGCGGAGAGAATTGCCTCTTCACTAGGACGGGGAGTCTTGGGGGTTGAGCCATTGGTGTTGAGGGAGAATGTTTGCGGGGCGATGTTTTGGCCAGTCGGGGTCGGTTGAGAGGGTTGCGAGGAAGTTCCGGCATCGCCGTTTCGCAATGTTTGGAGTCCTTGCTCCAAGCTGGTGAGTCGCTGCAGAAGTTGTGCGAGAACTTCGGAGTCTTTTGTCGTCGTGTTCCCGCTTGTCGCAGCCGGGTTGGGTTGTGCTTCAGCCGTCAGATTAGACTGGCCACTAGATCCTCCGGCCATCCTCGTGCGCAATCGTGTGCCGGTCGCCACTTTCGAATGTCGTAATTTTCGGGAGTGACGGTGCGAAGGATTCCAGAGCCGCTCTCATACCATGCTGCGATCAGAAGTTGATCGTAGCCCAGGATCTACTCTGGAAGGTTCATACGCTGTGAGGTAGTGTTGGTGGGCCCTTGACCTCAATAGCATAGTGAATGTAAAATGCTTGAGATGATGAAAACATGCAAATACGGCGGTATAAATATGAGCACAAGGGAATCTGAAACGTCCTAGCTAGCCATGTACTCTAAGGGGTACTTTCCCTTATTCAACTGCATCCCAACCGTTCGGCGCGTACAGTTTCGTAACTGTTCCCGCCAAAACCATCCTGCCTGCAGCTGTCCGATGCCGTTTTCTTCCGACGGTTCAGATGTGCTGTAACCGTCCGACTCTTTGACTCAATTCCAACCGTCTGACGTTTGCGTTCATTCCCGATATTGTGTGTTCCTTGCTACGGTGAGGAGTGCATAGTACCGTAATATCAGGTATTACCGTCTCCCCCCGGATATAAGCGCCACCCTAGGATAAGCGCCTGGCGCTTCTAATTGGCATATGGCGCTTATATCCCCTCCTCGATTATAAGCGCACCCCTTGAAAAAACTTGTTTTATTATAAGCGCACGTAAACTTTAAAATTTGAAATGTGTTCAAAAAGCTGTAACGATTTTTACTTTAGCAGGCGGATATGTTGCAGATTCGGTTCCCTTCACATTCGGACCCTGCACTGGATGCGGGTCCAGTCAGCAGGACCTATCAGGAGCTGGATGTGAGTCAGATTGGGTGTATCTCCCAGCGCGCGCGAGAATTTCACAGACGATCCCATGTAACTTCGACTCGATTGAAAAGGCAAGCACGAGACCTACAGTTTGGTGTTAAAAGATATAAAAAATATGTATGTCATTTTATAAACGCCGGCGCTTATAAATTTACTCGATTATAAGCCCACCCCCATGAAAAAACCTGTTTTATTATTGCCCCCCATGGGGGTATATCCGGGGGGATACGGTACTATTCGTAACACGTCGGACCCTGTACATGAGACACGTCCTCACTTGCTTATCCATGCTCATCACAACACAATTCAATACAAGTGCGTGATGAGTGGAACCCTTTCGGACAATAAACCATGCTCAGGACAGTAGGGTAAGTAGATCCTTCTTTGTCCCAGCATCCTGCAGCACGCTATTGGGGAACTAGGGTAAGTAGATCCTTCTTCGGAAAATTAGTTTGCTACTATAAACCTTCAGAAAATTCAACAAGAATACAAGCAGCCCAAGAATATGGAACAAGTTTGCGAAGCTTGAACGGAAAGGATAGGAAGACAGCCGTGTTCGCTGCTTATAACAGAACTAATACATGTACTGCTCTTTACAACGATGTTTACATATTTTTTTGTCAGTGGTTCATGGCTTGTACCTTGGGTGCAACGACAGCCACCCTATCAGCAGCCGCAGACCCCGACACGGGAGGGAAACATCTCCTGATCTCCCTAGCTTCCTGGCAAAGAGCACATCTGTGGCAAAAGAAATGCAGCATGCAGTCACAGGTCCGATGGCAACCCTCTGTAGGATCGCTTGTGATGTCTTCAGCTCCACTCTGAAAAACACCCGATGCAGCAAGGACGGAGAAAGAAAATGAGGAAAACGAAGCAGCTGCAGAAAAATGGCCGAGGCAGCTGCTCTGGGAGTGACATCATGATAAAGCGATATCGATCAGGAGCGTTTAAAAAATATTAATAAGGACGAACCTGGAGACGGAGTTGCGAGCGTATGGCGGATCGGCTGGGCCACGACGAGATTGGAGCGAGCGCGTTGCAGTGCAGCAAACACTTCCCAAGAAAGAACAAGGCGGTGTAACGCATGCAGCTGTCATAAAATTCATTCGAATCGCCGGTAAGGCGTGTCATATTGCTTCCGTAAAGCACGCACGGTGCGAACATGCCAAGGCAACCTGACGAAATAGACACACCACGCAGAGTAGGAATACATGATGAACGTGAGTACGAGGAGAAAAAATGACGCTTCATGAATTGAAAAGAAATTGCTGAACAAAGAAATATTAGATCTGGTAAAGGCGTTCCTTGCCGACGGACTCACAAATTTCGCAATCGGAGCTCGTGTGCTCATCCGAGCCTGGAACGCAGGAGAAGATCCCTGTGCTCCACTCTCTCATTGGCTCCGAAACCTCGCTCGCTTCATTTTGAGAAAGAATCGGCAGTTTCTCAGAGGCAGGAGCTGCAGCCACAGAAACGGCATCTTTCTTCCCAGGTTCCTTCTCTCCAACGTAGTAGCAGCTATCACCCTCAAGAAGAGGAGACGCAGCAGTCGCCGCCATCGGTGGTATCAAAGATATTATCGAGTTTCTTCCTTGGAGCAAGACACAGAATACAGTAAGAACAAGCAGATGCTGCGATCACAAAAATACTGAACAGAACAGAATGAATGACAACGAACTCGAACTGAATGCTCGTGCTTGTGAGCGAATATAGAGACCCGCACTGCTGCAGACAACGAAGGACCTCTCCCCTTCCTGCTCGTATTCACAACACAGCCTAGCAGATGCCGTGTGCGATACGTTCCTATTTGGCAGTAGGGAAATATGTTGACTGGAAAAAGCCGCGCAAACGGAAAATCTACGTAGAACTGTCGCCTTGTGTGCGAAAATGTGCGCGTTGACGGACTGTGTTGACGGGAAAAATAACGGGAGGGGACAACACGAATGCCGTCATCCTGGCAAAGCAGGTGCAGGGAAGACAGGCCAGTGAATATTCAAGCACGACCATCACCTCGCCACCGACCGACTTGCCTCCTTTGACAGCAATCTACACTAAAGCTCTAGTGTGGATCTGTTACAGGGGGTTTTACTATACACTACCAACCCTATTTTTCTTGCTTCAACTTTCTAGTCCCATGAAGTACTTTCCGACATTCGACCTTGCATGCTATATCATCCTTGCTTGTATCCACCTGTCAGAATATTGTTCTCTAGCCTGCAGTGGGGTACTCTATAGCGAGTACAGCCCCGTAGGGTTTCCTAAATGTATCTTGCTGCTTTCTAGTGAACTCCCCCTCCTTTCTTCACTCTAAACTTTCTACTCGTAAACTTTATATGCTATCAGAGCAGGTCGATCCCCTTGGGTCGATCCTGTGGGTGGGCCCACCACCTCACTGCTTCCGCTGCTACTGCTACTCTCTGGGTTGCACGCCCCGTGGCGTGCAACGGATTTTTTCATCCCGCCGCACGCTCGGAGCGTGCAGCGGTTTTCTGCCCGCCGGCGCCCCGAGGCGCGCGGCGGCTTTCTACCCCGTCACTCCGCGCGTCGCTCCCGGGAGGCGCTGCGACGGGCGACGGGGACCCGCGCGTCGCCCTCCGTCGCCCGTCGCGGCTTGCGCGACCTGCGTAGGGCCCGCGCGCGGCCCGCACAGCCTGCGCGCGGCCCGTACGGGCTGCGCCAGGCCCTCGCGCGGCCCGTATGGGCTGCGCCAGGCCCGCACGTGGCCCGTACTGGCTGCGCCAGGCCAGGGCGCGCCTCAGGCCGCCCGCGCGCGGTTCGTACGGGCTGCGCCAGGCCAGTGGGCGCCCTGTTTCCTCGTCCCCCGTGCTTCTGATGGCGCCCCACCCCTGCTGCTGCCCGTTCTCCTGCATTAGGGTTTGGGGTGGGGGGTATGGGGGTGCAGCTTCTGTGTGCCATCCCCTGCTCCTCCTCCTCCTCCGTCTCCCAGTGCTGCAGCTGCCGCTGAGGGGGGTGGATCTGTTGGAGCCGTCGGAGTGGTACTAAGGGGGGTGAAGGGGGAGTGGAGCTAGGGGTGAAGAAGGGGGTGTGTATTAAGGGGGGTGGGACTTTTTGAGGAGGCTGAGAGGAGGCTGCCGTCGTGTCGCCAGCAGCACCAGTAGTCCGGGGCGTTGCTCAGGTAGCCCAGTCGCAGCCAGCTGTACCAGTCGCCCGTGGGTCCGTTGCTCGTCTGCCGCTAGTTTTAGCCGCGGAGCCAGTTACTCCAGTAGTCCGGAGCGTTGTTCCGGTAGTCGCTGTGCCAGTGTGACTCCTGTTGCCCGTGTGTCTGCAGCTTCAGCCGTCGCCTCCTATCTCCTCTCCTCTTACAGTCTCGCCTCCTCCTTCTCACTTGCCCGCTGTGACTACCACTAGCTTTGCTCATAATTGTGAACTTTGAGCTGTTGCTTCTTGTACTTGTGCTCAGAATGTGTGGTGACATTGTGATCCACCCTGAGCTTGTTCTGCTTTGCTTGCTCTGCTTATTACACCCCACTTTGGCTATGGGGGTGTGTCAGAATATTGTTCTCTAGCCTACAGTGGGGTACTCTATAACGAGTACAACCCCGTAGGGTTTCCTATATGTATCTTGCTGCTTTCTAGTGAACTCCCCCTCCTTTCTTCATTCTAAACTTTCTACTCCTAAACTTGGTACCACCAATATCAACCAATTCGCATTCAACTCTTCTTTAATTACTCAGTAACTTCCTCGCCTATTTCGCCAATAGTTATTTCGCCAAAGTCTTTCGCCGCATTTCATCCTCGACTTAGTCGACCCCGCTAATTATTTAGCGGACTTAGGCCGTCGGGCCTAACACTTGGTATCAGAGCCTTGGCGGGGAGCGACTTCCAACGAGCGACCGTCGACGACGAGACTACGACGTCATCGTCCCGCGGTGCCGACTTGCAGACTTGGAGTCGTCGAGCGAACATGGACGAAACCATGCACGCTCTCTCCCACGACATGGGCAACACGCTTGCCGAACTCATGCGCCAACTTCAAGAGTTGACGTTGGAAAATCGTCCGGTACGAGCTGAAATGCAACAGCTTCGTGAATTGGCTTCTAACCCCCATGGTCATGCCGCACCAACTCTTGCGCCCAACACGTCGACTGGCACGGAAGCGCTGCCGGAACGTCGAAGCGCGCTCAAGCCGCAGAAACCCGAGTCGTTCGACCCAAGTCAACGCGACGCGAACGTGCGGACGTTGCTCTTCATGCTGAACAACTACTTCGCTGCGAGCGGGGTGCAAGAGGCGGACGCGCAGCAGTGGATCGAGTACGTTGTTACGCTGCTGAGGGGCCCGGCCTTGGAGTGGTGGCGCCAACTTACGAAGAGTGTTGTTAGAAGGGCTCAGACGGACAGGCATCAACAGGGCGTGGGGCATGCAGCTGCAACTTCGAGCTTAGGTAGTCTAGCTTTGGGTGTTACCACGGTTCCGACCACATGGGAAGGATTTGAAGCGGCGCTGAAAAGTAGGTTCAATTTGGTGAACGCCTCCGAAGCTACTAGGAAGCGTCTGCGTCATTTCCGTTAGATAGGAAATATCAAGGAGTACACACGACGGTTCTTGAGCATCTGCAACGAGATAGACGATATCACGGAAGTAGAGATGCGCGATCGCTACCTCGAGGGGTTGAAGCCGAACATAGCAAAAGTTATAGCGATTCATGGGTTGTCCCCTTCGAGTCAGTTGTCGCAGCAGCAGAACGCGTCGATGCAGTACAAAGCCGACGAGGTCGTGACGATCGCGATAGGGGATACAGCAGACCGATCAACGACGCTCGATCGAGGGACGGACCATCGCCCATGGAGATTGGTGCAGTTAACAGTGACGGCTCACAGAAAACGGGATTTAGGGGGAACTGTCACTACTGCAAAAAGCCGGGACACATGAAGCGAGACTGCCCACAGCTTAAGGAGCGGCATCAGGGAAACGGAAACCACCAGTAGATAGCGGGTCGCTAGCTGGTGTGGAGGTTCCCGTACCCGCCACGTCTACCAACGTAGAGGAGACGGCTTTGCAGCAGTCATCTACGGAGAACGAGGTAGACACTGTTGACCGACCAGTCGTGCTTCTAGGGAAGCTTCGCGGAGTTCCTGTTAAGATTCTCGTAGATAGCGGAGCTAGCCACTCGTTCGTGTCTTCATCGTTAGTCAGCCGCCTCCATCTCGAAGCAGATTCCGCAGTCAACTTCAAGGATGCTCGCATGGTAGATGGGACGCCTCTCCACATAGGACCGATCATTCGCAAGTTGCGCGTAGTGCTAGGACCGATCACAGTTAGGCGTGATTTCGACTTTGCGACGCTGGACGGATACGATTTTATCTTCGGGAGAGATTGGCTACGCACGGTTAGTACTCAGTTCGATTGGGCTCAGGGAAGCTGCTGCGTCAAGGTAGATGGCGAGTTCCGGGAGCTGCCACAGTGGAACGATGCGGCCACATCCTCCACAGCTATCATTAATGCTGTTTGTGTGCGAAAGTTAGTGAAGCGTGCGGCGCAGATCTTTGCGGTTTTCCTTGAGGAGGTGGAAGCTGAGGAGGGGAAAGGAGGGAGTGCAGCAGCTGGTGCGAAGGCGACTCTTCCTGCTGAGGTGAGTGCACTATTAGCAGGGTTCGCAGACGTCTTTCCCGACGAGTTGCCCCCAGGGTTACCTCCTAGCCGAGAGGTAGACCATCGAATAGAGTTGGAGCCGGGGAGCAAGCCAGTAGCAAAGCCGCAGTGGAGGTTGAGTCCAACGGAGACAGAGGAGATGACGCAGCAGGTTAGGCACTTTCTCGCGCAGGGGTTGATACAGCCATCTAGATCGCCTTCAGCAGCACTGATCCTCTTCGCGCCTAAGAAAGACGGAGGGTTACGTATGTGCATAGACTATCGCGCACTGAACACCGCCACCGTCAAGAATAGATTCCCGGTGCCGAGAGTAGAGGATCTTCTCGATGAAGTGCAGGGCGCTAGAATCTTCTCCAAGATCTATCTTCGCTCAGGGTATCATCAGATTCGAGTAGTTCCATAGGACCAGCACAAGACGGCGTTTCGTACGAAGTAGGGGTTGTACGAGTTTAGGGTTCTACCGTTCGGTTTGGCCAATGCCCCGGCGACGTTTCAGACACTCATGACACAGTCCTCTCCGAGTTCCTAGGGTCGTTCGTTGTAGTTTACCTAGACGACATCCTAGTGTTCTCTAAGACAAAGGAGGAGCACGTGCAGCACTGGCAGAAGGTCTTTGAGGTGTTGAGGAGGGAGCAGTTGTACGCGAAGCAATCAAAGTGCGAGTTCTTCCTCCCCGAGGTCGACTTTCTAGGTCACGTCATATCTGCGAAGATTCACTCTACAACGGTAGTGAGCTAGACTATGGGGGTTGGCACGAACTACTAGAGGTGATCGTAGCTTTGCTTG